TCCTTGATCTAAGAATGTGACACATGATATTCTGAACAACTTAAACTGTAGCAGATATGGGCAGGCATGTGTCAGGCCATTTAGGTTTGCGTAAATTGGAATTATCATCTTAAATCCAGCAGAAAACATAGCAAGGAACTAACACAAGCTTAGGGAGGGAGTGAAATAAATTGTTTTGAATAGAGCATTGAGTAATTTTGAGGCTAATTTAATATTTCACTAATGACAGTGTGTTTCTTTCCCACAGAGGGATATACATCGTTTATAAAGATGGAGATGTTGATAATCCCATGGTCAAAGAGAGGGTCTGGCAAAATAGTGATTTCAACTTTGATAATGTTCTGTCTGCTATGATGGCCCTTTTTACAGTATCCACTTTTGAAGGCTGGCCAGCGTGAGTGACTTCTCCGTGTTTTCACAGCATTGTTAAGATGGCTATGTTTTCCAGAACAGTTCACTCTCGTTTACCAGGCATTTTTGGGCAACAAAGCAGTCTTAAGTGATGGTATAAAAACTTGTTAATGGAGGAAGGAAAAAAAACCCCTACTATACTTCTGAATCTGTGCACTTGTCCTGTATTTCTTCATTCACCTCTATCTATAAAGGGCAAACTGGTTTTATATTGTTTGATTCGTAATCTTTCAGCTACTTTTGCTATAATGAGCTATTCCTTAGCTCTAATGGAAGTAATCCTTTTAGATGTTTATCCATCGAGGCCCTCTAAATAATAGTAATATGAAAATTTCAGGCCTTTGAGTAAAACTTTTACTAAAAAGTCAAGCAATAGTACGCTGCATAGGGAAACCCAGGAAGAGCAAACTACCACTCACTATTTCCCTGAATGAGAAAAGTCTGGAAAAAACCACCAAAAGAAAATATACAACCATCTGGTGATTACCTGGATTGTTTTGGAAAAAAGCATATAACATTGTGTGATATGATTCTTCTGTTTTCGATGTGCTTGTAAGCACTGTCAGTAACTAGAAAAAGATAACAGTAAACAGCAGACCATTTCTGAAACCTGTCTTCTGAGTCTGCGTATTTTACTCTCTTTTGTCATTTTAATGCTAATAAAAATAATTTTGTTTGTTTTTCAGGCTGCTGTACAAAGCCATTGATTCAAATGGCGAGAATGTAGGACCTGTGTACAACTATAGAGTGGAGATCTCCATTTTTTTCATCATCTATATCATCATTATTGCTTTCTTTATGATGAACATATTTGTTGGTTTTGTGATTGTTACATTCCAAGAACAGGGAGAACAAGAGTATAAGAACTGTGAGCTGGACAAAAATCAGGTTAAAATAAATAATGAACTCTATTGAAAGTATTCTTTATTATTTATGCATGAAGAGTTTCCTTTCTGCTTTGGGTCAGAAGAGGGCACCAAACACATAACTTATGTTCTAATTCCATTTTTTTACTGCTATCGACTGGTATTCAGGTCATTGTATGTTCCTCTTTCCGGAAGCCCAACATATCAGTCTTTTTGTTGTGAAAGGTGTTACATCAAGCTTGTTAGCTTCTTGGTGTCTCGTTTGTTGGTGTCACATTAAGAAGAATACAGCACTTGCCAGTTTATCCATAGGTAGAGGTAGCTTTTACAATAAGAACATGAAAACAAATTTTGTGTTCTGAATAGTCTGAAAGCATTCAAAATGTTCTACTTTTTTTTTTTTTTCCTTTTTCACCCTATTTATTTAGAAATTCAGAGGGGATATTCAGATTCAATTTTTTTTTTTTTTTAAAGTGTCCCCTTTTAGTGTTTAATTCTTTGAGAAACTCATCAGTCACCAGTCATGATTTTTCAGGTACTCTTGTCCAACTGTAACACACTCCATTTAAACAAAGTTAAGCATGAAACTTTAGCCAGCACTCATTCTACATTTTGTGCCCTGTCAGTCAGCTTTTGTAAGTGTTCTTCAAAAGCCAGGTGGAAGGCCCAGCTTGCATGAAGATTCCAGGCACTAATAGAGCAGGAGATGAATCTGTGATGTTCTTAACATATGTGACATGATTTTGCTGGGCAGTTTAACTGAACTATTAGGAATAACACTTCCTCAGTATTTATTTTGCTGACTGTATGGTTTTATGCTATGCAGTTACATTGGTGGTTGAAAACTTAGTAAAGACAAGGCATGACTTATAAATTGATAGTCATGTTATTAATAGTCATGCTGTACACTGTACATATTCATAGGTGTAGTCTACGGTGTACTACTACATTGTATAAATGTGAAACACTTCGGAACTTCCTTGAGCATTATTTGATTCTTTGTATGTGGCTGAGTAGTGTATATGATTAGGTACACTTGTAAATAACCAAGTGAGGATTGGTAAGCTGCTTGATTACTTCATTAACACTTAGTAATAAAAAAATCCTACATCAAGTAGATAACTGCCTGTTTTTGAGACTTACATTTAACAATTTGCACTTATTAATTATATTATCAGTTGATTAACTGTTAAGTATGGTCTGACGATTTTTTATGTATTTGCTTTTACAGCGTCAGTGTGTAGAATATGCCTTGAAGGCACGTCCTCTTCGTAGATATATTCCAAAAAATCCTTACCAGTACAAATTCTGGTATGTGGTGAATTCTACTGGATTTGAATACATCATGTTTGTCCTCATCATGCTGAACACACTTTGCTTGGCTATGCAGGTAGGAAAACCAGAAGCTCTTTTGAAGCTGTTGGCATAAATTGCAGGGAAGGATATGGGCGATACAATGCCTTTAATTTATGGCAACTTGTATATTTTTATGAAGTAAAATTTCAAAAAAAGCACCTCTGATCGTAGTACTCCTCTGTGACATGTTCTAGTCTGTTCATCAGTACTCTGAAATAAATTGTTTGAAACAGCTTGATGTTGATAAAGGTCTTCCTAACATAATCTAGCTCTTTGAGCTTTATTTTGTACCTGCAGTGTAATTTAATTTATACTGTATGTGTGTATTCCCAAGGTTATGAATCTGCAAGAAAATCTGAAAAGTCTAATTTTGTTAGCAAATATTTCTCTTAACCCCTCAGATTCTTTTATCTAATCTTTTATGCAGTGCCTTTAAGCACTACTTCACCTCTGTGTAGTTTCTGTACTTGTTGTGTGTTCGTTTTGTATGTGTACTACTCAATAGTTGGTTGGACTGGACTAAGGTCCGTTCCAACCCAAACCATTCTGATATTTCTATCATCTGTGTCTATATCTTCTGAAGAAGTTTAAAAACTTAATATATGGAGCTACTTTAGTTTTTTGTGCTAATGCAAACGTCACACAAACACGTTTATGTATATTAGTTGTATATCTATATATACCTGTGTGTATTTTTGCATGTTTTGATTTTTTCTACATTATGCATACCGTTCTTAACCACCTACTTCTTATCTACTTTTCCAAGTTGTCTCTTTTCCCTGAGTACTTCAGATTTTGATGAGAAAAAGAATGGCTCAAATTCAGTTTACAAAACCATTCTACTTTTTTCAGTAAACCTGCATACAATGTATTCTCTTAAAAATATCTCTCCTACACAATATATGTTATCCTGTGACTAACTGCAGGCTTTCTAAGCAGGTGTGACACAAGCTTATGTAATTTTAAAACCTAGCATATAATACAGGAAATTGCTGTTGTCTAATACTCCTTTTCTGAGGGAACAGTTTCCCTCTCAAAACCATCTCTCTGGAGATTCCCTTAGGATGTAGAGGAATGACACTTTTGTTCCACTCGGTGCCTAAACCGAATAGATGTAAACAACTCCATTCTTGACCGGAGATATTCAGGTAGTCTTCTATCTATATAGGTGTGCATCATAAATACTACCAGAAAATATTTTACTGTGCTGCATTTTTGCCTGCTTTGTCTTAGGCTGCCTTACTTTCACAATATTTTAAAGCCTTTACTTTTAAAAGTATCGTATTTTTCATTCACAGCATTATGGACAGTCTAAGCTCTTTAATGATGCAATGGACATTATGAATATGGTTTTCACAGGAGTGTTCACTGTTGAAATGGTTTTGAAACTGATTGCATTCAAACCCAAGGTAAGTTTTAGATATGATTTAATTAGGTCATCACCACAGGAATTAAGTACAACGTAAGTTTCACACTAGTTATGTATTATTCAAAACCCAAAAAGAACCTATATTTCCCACATTTATCTGTTAGTGAAATTGTAATAGAAATGTTAATCTGATAATATGTGTATATGTAGCTCCAGGAAGTGAAATGCAGATATCAGGAAAAAATATTACAAGGTGGTTGATGAGATCTGGAATGTTTTGAGGTTATGAAAATGCCCGTTTGTAAATCAGATAAATCATTTTCTGTTACAAGCATTACCACTTCTCCTATGCATGGAGAATACATTCATACCTTTACACTAAATTAATCTCCAGTAAAGACCTGTATATTATATTTCCTATTCTAAAATGCAAAATTATTTCTTTGCTTCATAAAATATAGCTGAGTACTACAAACATACACATAACTAATTTGCATATTCAATAGCCTTTTTGGATTTTTATGTTTTCAGTTGTAGGTACATAGTATTTGGCAGAGGGCCCCACACTGAGTAGTTGATTCCTTGCCTTAAAGGGACACTGTCAAAACGAGTAATGCAGAACACATTTTCAAAAGCAGATATGCAAGAGAAACTGATAACTATGATAATTGAAAAAAAGAGACGAAAATCAGACTGTGACAGTTAATGCAGTCTTTTTGTTCAGTTCTCATACTGCATTTATGACAGTGCAAAAGTTAATTAAAAACTAAACTAAATTTTTTCAGTATAATGAAATCAATGTTTATTCTGGGTTTATATCTATGTAAATAAAGTGTGGTCACTGGCTATACATGGAATTTGAAAAAAAACAGACATGCCATTTGAAGTTTACTGATCTCACCATCTAAGGCTGGTATTTTTCATTTTCCATTGCTCTTCTTTTAAAGTAATCAGGATATCTGTATCTGTGATTGGCTATGAACTGTGCCCTTTCTGGGTGTTCAGTATCGAACTGGATGACCGTGGGCTGTGTGGGCAATCTTACTCTTGCTTTCAACAAGCTAGCTCTCGTACTTACAGCAACATAGTCATCGCTGCCCAGAGCTCAGCATGGAATAGATGTAAAACTACCTTCCAGCTTTTCAAAACTATTTATTCAGCTTGCATTTAGTCATGAGCTCGGCTGTGAAGCCTGAGCTACTTGATTTAAAACTAACTTATATTTACCTGCAAAATAAACAAATTATGCATCACTTGAGGTCTGGTGTTGAGATGTGAAGTGTGGAGTTCTGGGTGAATGCTTACCCACTCTCCCGTAGTCTCGCTCTGCACTGTCCAGTCCATTGTACATTTCTAATGAATTTGTTCGTATTTCTGTGTCACCTATCTTATTTAAATGCTAAGAATTTAACATTAAAAATAACACAATATGAGGCCCCAGAGGAGATAGCTCAGATACGTTGACCACAGTGTCATGAGTATGCTAATTGTGTTTCCTGACTTGTATTTCCTGTTCTATATCCTTGTTTCACACTGAAGTTTTGGAAGACTTTGCTGCATTTTATCATCTGCTCTTTGAAAGAAGATTGTGAATCCTTGTATGGTTCTCCATGCACTTGTGGCTCTAGTCAGAAATAGCAGCTAATGCAAAATATAGTGGTCCGATCATGAGTGTATAAATCACAGTGCTCCATTTGTATTATGGACTTCCTACTCATTATCAAATGCAATGTCTTAATACTGGTCTCTAAGACTTTGTACAGTTTGAGTTTAAACTCTGTTGCAGCATGCTTTCTTTCTGATTGGATGCTTTTACAGTGAGAGATCCCTGGATCTGAACCCTGAGAGTTTGAAGGGCAGACACTGTCAGTGAAAGGTTCTCATTTCCTGAATTTTGTTCCCCTGTAGATGCAGAACACCTTAAACTTGTTAATTAGCAGGACAAGGTTAAAAGGCCATGGTGTTAATCATACTTTTGGCAGAGCTTAATTATACTTTGAAGATTGTAACTTTTAAAATTGTCAGATACTCTAACGAAACACCTCTTGGCAACGTATATTACATAGTTCATTAATAATTGCAAATCAGCTCATAGTCTTAAGCAGAATGTGAATGTCTTTTAGTAATTTAAGTTTTTAACTTGATACGTGCTTAAAACAACAATGAATTGCTTTAACTCATATTAAGATTTAATAATAGTAGGAACAATCCGAAACCCAACTTAATGCTTTGCTGTAGGGTCCGTGAGGAAAGACTAATTCATTTCCTTTATGTTTGTGTCACTGGTGGGTTCCTTAGTCTAGTCGGGCAGAATGAACAGTTTTAATTATTAATTTTGTGCATTTAAAAAATTATTTCGAAGATGCTCAAAGCATCAAATAAAAACTCCATTGCTCTATAAAAATAAGAATTGATAAAAACATTTTAGTTTTTAAAAACATGTTAGTTTTTATCTCATCTGCTTGACAGTGTCCCCTTAATATGTTAACAAAAGTGCTGTGAAAACTGTGATCTCTTGGTTTCGCTGGTCATGGAAACTTAAGGCTATTGTAAATTATTGATACTCTTACAATGATATTGTATTGCTTAAAGCCAAGGTACTGCAGACGGCCTTCCAGCTCTGAAATATATAAAACTTGGATAAGTGATAGTTACTAAAGGTGATGCTGAGTGTCTGGCACACTTCTTGACGGGGAGATGGGAACACACAGTACTCTGCAGAATGAGGCCCTAAACTTTTCAAGAGAGTTCTAAAAGGACTAAAATATTTGTGTGGTAGATCTATAGAAACATATTTTGGTGTTAATTCTCCATGCCTACATATTCCCCAAGATTTGTGATTTTTATCCTTCAGCATTTCTCAATGAACACATTTTACATAATGTAAGTTAAAAGAGCAGGCATTTTTTCTTCACATTTGCTAAAACCTGTTACTTACCATGGTTTAGTACAGTACAAACCAAAATACAGCTATGAAATCTAAAATAATACATCGACACATACCATGTGTACAGCTTTGTGATAGCTAGCTGTTACTTAAACTTGTAATGATTTTCAATGTCGTTTTACATCAGATTTTTGTAAGAAAAAAGGAAAGATGGCTAGTAAGTGAATCGATCTTGGGTCATTGCAGTGGTGAAAACAACTTCTTTGCATGATGTTTATTTGCTGTGACTTGTCCATTCCTCCCTTTTCCAAAACCATCTTTATTTTCTCTTAGTTTTTTTGTTTATTTGTATGCTTTTGCTTTACATTTTACTTTGAACAATATTTGTCTATACTGATGGAAAAGGTTTCATAAAATAAATAAATGTGTAAAGTATTTTAGCTGTGTTGAATCAAAATGTGAATTTGTTATTTCAGTGCCTTATATTGTAGCATGTCTAGTAAAGTAACTTTTTCTATAGCTGAAATTAACCTTTATTTGGAGGACCTTTTTTGGTTCCCATTGTTGTAGAGGAAGATGGATAGCACACCTCAGGATTGTGCTGGTTATCTGTTTGCTGTTTGCCAAGAGTCTCTTATTTTATGTATATATCAAGAAATATACTTCTTTTAAATAAGAGAAATAAGGAATATGAATGATCAGGAAGAATATCGTGAGAGTAGCTCCCCTTCTTTAGTTGGCAGCTGCTAATCTCTTCAGGATTATAAATTTCAGTATTGTTGAGGTGCTTCAGCGTGATGGTCAGTAGAAACTTTGGGAACGGCTTGTTCTCGTGAAGCAGCACGAGTAAGGAAGGGAGCGGTAGGGAATTTTGCAGGAGCTCTCGGAAATGGATGCGTTTGTCCAGGAGGCCAAATCCATGAACACTGGCTTTTGCCCCAAGCCTGGAATTGGTCGTTAATCCCAAAGAAACAAAGCATGTGACACAAAGGGCTGTAGTGATAATCATACTCTGATCTATTTTCCCCTTCCTTAAATGAGGGAATGATTATAGCAATTTGTGTTTTAAAAGAGCTGAGAGAGGAGCATTAGAAACATAGTGAGATTTTCCTGACCCTGCTCAGTGCTTGCTCTCCTAGAATACGCGGTAGAGCTGTTGTCTTCTGCAGCAGTTTCGTAGTCTCCAAGAGCATATTTCCACATGCAGTTAGCTTTGGTTTTGAAATAGTAATGCACTTGAGTGTAACCTTTTAAGCTGTGAAGTTACTAGAAATTCTAACAGCTTAAAATCTTGAGAAAAATATTGTCCAGTTCTAAAATTTGTAGCTGATTTTGCTTTTCTGTGCTAACACCACATGTAACAACTTAAACTACTCAGCTAAAATATTATCTTATAGTAAACAGTGTAATAATAAGTGTACTAGACATAAGGTTAGATTTGCACACTTGCCATTTTAAACTTTTTGCTAAATTTATTTTTTAGAGCTTCAGTAGTGGCTGACAAGTTAGTATTTTAAAATTAATTACCAGGAAAGAAGAATGTACGTGTACAAAATATGCATTTCAGCCTTTGTCATGTAACACACGTTCTTTAGTCACGGTTGGCTGATAAATTAATATATCTGAATGAGAAAAAGGGCAACTTCAGTAATTTTTGCAGTTCTGATTTTCTGTAATAACTAGGCAAGATCCATATATTGCAGAAAACCTACATCTCTTGTCTCTGTAGAATTGCCTTCAACAGAGTAATACACCTTGATTTGTTCCCAGTGACAGATTGATCCTGGAACCTACTTCAAGGTTTCTTCTGAAATATCTTTTTGCTCAAACATGCGGTTTTGATGCCAGTAGACAGCTAATTGCATGATAACACTTTATAACCATTTGCAGCAGTGTGCCAGTAATGTACACATGGGGAATATATTTAAAGCCATAAAATGTCAGAAGGGTGACTAAGCAATTTATGAAAATGAATTTTTGGACGCTGGACTGGCTGCATTAAAAGCATTAAGAAATTGTTCTAGTTGCTGCGGTTCCTAGCACTGACTTCACTGGTTACAGAATCAGGCCCGGACTGCAAATGCAGCTTGAGTTCCTATATTAAACCTAGTTTATGAACAGGAGATTAGGTCAGTTCTCTAACATTTATGCGCAGTTCCACATTAATAATTGTGCATGATTAACCGGTGATGAGCTTTGACCCTTTGAATATGTTTACCAGTCACTTAGGGCTATCGTAAAGTCATTAATGTGAAGGAGATTTCAATTGGCTTGGTCTTGTAGAAATATTATTAAAGGGATTTTGTCGTGCTTGTTAGGGTACGTATGTTAGAATTTTTCAGCCTTGCTAGAAGTCCAAACCCAGTTTTGGATGATGGCTTGCTTGCCAACATTGTGCTTATACAATGGTGTATTATGCATGTGTACTGCGTGTGTGCGCGCGTGTGTGTCTGTGTGTGTGTCTGTACATGTATATATAAAGTATATATATATACACACACACATGCACATATACGTTGCTTTTCCTTCAGTAGGCAATATTGTTTGGTTTGTTTTGTTTTCTCATTAGACCACAGGTTTTGTTTAACTAATTTCTGTTTATGCAAAACTAAACAGAAGTATGCAAATATTTGACATTTCATGTGTAATCACAAACGTTTGCACCCTGCCTGCTCTGTTCAGGGCTATTTTAGTGATGCCTGGAATACGTTTGACTCCCTCATCGTTATTGGCAGCATAGTAGACGTCGTTCTCAGTGAAGCTGATGTGAGTATACCCCAGCTTACTTTCCCCAGTCCCTACTTCTCTTTCTCTGTCTCCCCACTATTTCCATCATCTGGACAAGTCACAGATTTTGATCTGATGTTTCTAAAGTTTGAGTACAGACCAGTCATAGGTCAATTATGTTGATATGGGAAATAAATAGCCTTTTTTTTCTGCCAATTTTTTTTAGCTATGAAAGGGAAAGATTAGATTGTATAGTGGTACATCAGAGAAGCCTAGAGTGTTTCTGTGTTATAACACTGTCCTTTTCTTCTCTTTTTCTGTTTGTGTTTTTCTCTTGCTCTCTTTCTGCTGAATGCTTGTCCTAACAGCACTATTTCACTGATGCATGGAACACTTTTGATGCCTTAATTGTTGTTGGTAGCGTCGTTGATATTGCTATAACAGAAGTTAATGTAAGTAGCAACTGTTCATGCACTAAAAAGTAATTGCTGTCATCAAGAAATACAGAAAATGTAAATTTTATCCCCCAAAATCCTTTTAGAAAAGTATATTTTATCCTGGAATCAAAGACCAAAACATTGATACAGATGTTATAAATCTATATACACATATAGTTGCATATGCACACAGCATAGTGAGACAATGAGAATTATATTTTTCTATATATGTACAGAATATATTTAAAACAGTTTATGTATAAAAAAGGAATTAACCCTCTGTTACTGTTTTACTTGAAGCCCAGTGATTTTTGTAGGTAGCTTGACCAAGATAATTCGAGATTCTATAAGTTGTTTCAGTGGCTCAGTTTAACAAATAATGACTTTTTATTTTTTTTTTTTCTGTGTGGGAGGTTGGGTTTTTATGGCGATGTTAGCATTCATGTCTCATGAGGTAGCAGAAGAAGGGTACTTAGAGAAAGTAAGGCTTTCCATGCTGTGGAAAATAGAATGTTGGGGTTTTTTTCTATTCCTTTTGCTTTTCCTATCCTCCAGTAAATGCTTTGAAATTTGAATTACGCTTAAAGTACTTGGAAAACTTCATGTTTTCACCAAAATGTTGACTGATGGCCATTACACGTATAGGTGTTTGGACAACAGAAAGATCCCTGTCCAAGAAAAAAATAGGGAAATACTGATTTTTGCCTGTTTTCTATCTGACTTGCTGGTTTTAACACGGAAAGCTGTATCACAAAAGTGACAAATGAAAGATAACAAATACATACCAGTTCTGTAGTAGATAGGCAAGTGCTTCCCATACTTGCATGTTTCTTTGCTTAACTAGTCAGAACAAAGCTTCAGAGGAAGGTGCCTCTTCCCTCTAATGCTTCTTGAGACCTCAAAAAGGGAGGCTGGAGAAGGTGAGACCTGGATCCAACCAGCCACTGAAAATGCTGAGGGAGCACACAGGCTGGGTGGGTGAGGTTAGCGTCTCCTACCTGCTGAAGATCTTACCGGTTTATCAGTCTGAGAACTAAGTTATCCAGAAATACCCGTGATGCAGGAGATCCCCCACATTCACATGTTTTCCCTGTATCAAAGAACAGATTAATCAGAGAAAGCTGTAGACATTACTAGTTACTTGGTATTCTTGGAAGACAGCTTGTGTGGTTTTCTGCAGCAGTCACAGTTTATGAGCTGGCTAATAACATTCCTTTTCTCTTAAATTTGTTTTAGTAAGCTACTTGCTAGACATCTTTTTTTGCCTCAGTGGATTTTAGTACTTACCCAAATGGTTTCTTTTCAGTGGGGATATTTAATATACATCATTTTTTAAAATACTTCTAAATTTGAATAAATATTCTTCAGTGGTGAATATTTAAGTTGCTATATCTCTATCATATTTTGGGGAAGCAAATCCATCCCATTGCTATCATTGCCATTTAATTGAAACAGTTTTTCAGAGAAAACATATTTTAAATTTATTTTCCAAGTGGTTTATGTCAGGAAGCCAATTCTCCAGTCAGTAGCAGAAACAATACCCTTAATACTCCATTTAGACAGTACCTGGATTTTGGAACTGTGAATACCATGATAATAAAGTTGCTCAGGAACATGGAATAGAAACTGTATTTGAAAACAATGTGATCTGTTCCAGGCATTCCAGGATGGGGGGGGATGCATCATTCTCGAGTGAGATCTGTCTAGAATACAGTTTCTGGCTTTCAGTGCGTGGTTCAGATCAGCAGACCACCTACTAGGAGCTTGGATTTGTCAGGCTGGTCTTGATTGAGGCCATGGTTTGATGAGGATTTCTTTTGGCGTCTCCGTGAGTGTAAGCAGCCTTTGCCCACAGGCCTTCTTACCCCTGTGGCTGTGAGAGCTGTGCTTCCACAAGAGTTTGAGGACTTCACAGGTGGCTGGATGAGGTGTTGAGCACGAAGTATTGGCACAAGTGTGGGCCATGGTAGGGCAGAAATGAGAGGATAAGGCTGCTGCCAAAGGAAATACTTCTTACCCTGTGCCTACACGGGTCTCCCTTCAGAGCATATTAGCGTTGGCACAGACATTGTCAATTAGAGGCAGTAGCTGCTGTTGAGAAACAGTGATGTACGTAGGTTTTAATTGTCTTTGGTTCTAGACTATTTGGTAAGCATAGTAATACCTGTTATAAATACATTTCAAGCAAATATAGAAAACAAATGTATTCTTTTATCTTTTTTTTTTAAGATGGCTGAATATCTTAAGCATACACAGAATCTATTAGCCCTCATTAAAGACTTCAGATTTCTTTGTAAAGCTGCAAATTCTACATTGCCATCTCAAAGAGTAACATAATCAAGGACCTTAGCCTGACCCTTAGATTTCAGACTGATTTTGCTCAGCTCTCAGCGGGCGATGGATCTTTCTCTCTGTGAACTGAAGGAACCTGAGCTGACAGCATCAGAATTGCATTGTCCCATGGAGACATTTCTCAAAATATAATTACAGTTCATGGAGCAGATTTTAAAAAGCTACTTCTAATTTTTTACTGGGGGGGTGGGTTGTTTGGTTTTGGTTTTTTGGTTCCCCCCCCGCCCCGAAAAGTTTGGACTTAGACTTTCAGCTCCAAGTATTTACAGTTTACCCACTATTTTCATTCGTAGTAGTTCTGGTGTAGATGAGCATAATATCTGAGGAGCATAAAAAGACCAATCATTTAGAATAGCTTTCCCTAATAACCGCAAAATGTACTTGATTGTGAAGAGAGTGAAAAATAGCTCAAATGTGCTTCTGTGACTGTAGAAGATGGTTAATTTGACAGCATTACTTGCAACTGCTCACTGCTGAGCTTTCAGCTGTGAAGAACACTGTCGTTTCAGGACTTCACACAGTTGTCTTGAAGATATTCTGGAGATCAGGTAGTGATCTTTGGGGAAAAGTATGCACCACAGTCAGCAACTACCCCTGTCATTTCTTAGTTTTTCATGCTATACTCACTAGAGGAAAAAGGCTCATCTTGGATGTCTTCTAGTACTGCACAGCAGACTGTGTGTCTACTAAATATTGTCTGTTTCTGGTCTGTTCCACTTTTTTGTGCTTTGTTTGTGCAAGTCATTAATGTATTACAGTTTCAATATATTTCTGGGCTTGATTTCCCATTTTCAACATGAAACAGTGAATCCTGCAGAGTGTCCAGGGAAATTTTAGATTTGTATTACTTTCATTGTTTTGATTCTACTTCTGCTTCATTAGTTTTGTGTAAATTTCTGTAATCTAAATTCAGTATTTTGGAATCTTTTTCTTAATATTTTTTTGGCCTTCTGAGTTGTGCCATTCCACCTGTACTTTTTATCTAACCTGACAGTGATCCTGGGAAATCTACAGCTCTGCTGAGATGCTAACAGGGCTTTGTTTTCAATGGGATTTCAAGCGTGATTGAAATGGCACTTGTGAAAATTCCCGCTATAGAAACTTCTTAAACTGAGGAAGCTCAGCCTTGTTTCAGGGGTGATCTGAAACAGTGGAAATTGCTAACACTAATGGAACATCAGATCTTGCTGCAGTTCTAACTGCACAAGTACAGCCATCTTAATTCACCAATATAAAAAAAGAGTTGAAAGAACGTGAATACCCAAAAAATTGTACTCAAGATGAACTAAACATTCTTACAGGGTTGCATATAGAATTGCCTCATGCTGTGGAAACAACTCAGCATCATTCTGTTAGTCTAGCTGGGTACATTTAGACTAATTCCAAAGGCCAGCAAGTTCTTCTAGTATATAATGTGTTTGTATCTGACCTATTTTTTTCAAGAGAGTGAGTTGGACTTTCTAGTTACATATCACCTTGATTTCAGTATTAAATTCTGGAAATTGAATGTCATCTTTTTATTTTGCTGTTCTTTTTCTTGTTTTTTTTTTTTTTTTTTTAATGCTTTACAATAATGTATATGGTGTCCTGAGGCTGATTCTTCTGATCCAGTAACTTCCCATTCACATATAATCCAGGAAATTGCCTTGGTTTGAATATTTTTGGTGCCTGTGGAAATCAGCGTTTAATGTGTTAAGTAATTTACAGGACTGCTCAGCATCCTCGAGGGACTGGGTCAGTGACCAACTTCAGAAATGAACCACCTCAGAGCAACATATATTTGGGCAATACACTGTTTTCTATGATTGTTTTTTTTAATTTACTCTGTCATTTAATATCCCTTCCTTTAATCAGTACCCCTTTTATGAACCTAATTGGTTTTCATGTTCATTTTATTTTTAGAAATTTTTAGAGGCAAGTATATATAAGTAAATATATATATATGGTATAGCAGTAAAAAAATTAAAAACACTACTAAAACCTATTTAATTACTTTTGGGTTTTGTGACCTTTGGTTTTCAAAAAGTTTCACGTGACACACAAGATCTCGTGTGGTCATAAAAATGGTTCCTTTTCAGTTAAAAAAAAGCAGAGTAGTGATTGTGAGACACAAGATATGGTCAGTCCATTCTGGGAGATGGACATCTATAACTTAAGACAATGAGAGATAAATAAATTGGAAATAAATTCTGAATAAACGAGTAAGTTCTTAAATGGAACTAGCAGACAAGTTTCAAACTGGCCTGACTG